AGTGTTAGTTTGCATTTCTTTCATGCCTAGAGCCACAACTCAATCATGTTACTTCTAGTGTTTTTTTCAGAAGGCCTAGCAGTTTGGTCCAGCTGCCCTTAGACCACATCTTTCTAATTTTTTCTCCCATGTAGCTGTGATTACCTGCATATACCACAATGCCTGACTTTTTGTGAGAGTAGAATTAACTCATTGTTTTTCTTTGAGCCCAGATTACAGTCAAATATTCCTGTCTCCACCTCTCAAGTAGCTGGACTTGCAGGCATGCACCTATACAGTCTATATTGTCTATATTAAGAATCATTGCAGGCTGGGCACCAGTGGCTCACGTCTGTAATTCTAGCTACTCAGGAGGCTGAGATCTGAGGATTGTGGTTCAAAGCCAACCCAGAAAGAAAAGTGAGACACTTATCTCCAATAAAACACTCAGAAAATGGAAGTGGATCTGTGGCTCAAATGGTAGAGCACTAGCCTTGAGCTGAAGAGCTGAGGGACAGCATTCAGGCCAAGTTCAAGCCCCATGACCAAAAAAAAGAAAAGAAAAAAGAATCATTTCATAGGCTAATTTCCTATCTTTAAATGATTAACCATTTACATTTTTAAACAATTTTTCTTATTTATTGTTTTGAGAATTCCTTATATAAGTCCTTTCTCAGATATGCAAATCACTGCAAACAGCTTTTTAAAATATATAGCTCATCTTCTTCATTTTCTTAATGTCTTCTAGGAGCTCTTAATTTGGATGAAATACAGTTTGTCTCTTATTTTATGTTAGGTATTATATCCAAGAATGTGTTCGGTATCCAAGAACACCTTGTTTAAATCAGGGTAACAGAGACTCACTGTTTACTTTCAGGTTTTCTATCCAGTGGTTAGAGATGTCTCAATTTGAGAAGTTTAATCACTAAGATTTGCACATCCGGGGAGTGTGTGGGGATTTTAAATCACACACACACCTCCTCTCTTGGAGAAAAAAGATATTTTTTAAAAACACACACAAAAAAACCTTCTCTTGGTATTCGAGTATTCCCTGAATACTCTTTTATTTTACATTCCTTTAACTCTTTTTCCACTTGGCTGTTGGGCTATATCAAGAGAAACAATTTTAACTGTCACATGAACAGAATCCCCAATACTTATAATGAGTACCTCATAAAGCCCCTGTTAATAACCCTAGCATCTCTTGTTTGTCTCACCCAGAAGGATCCTAAATCTTTCATAGTAGACACTGTCTATCAGTTTTTCCAGGCCTGTTCTCAAAGGCTGAGAGGAAAGTAAGTATCTGCCTATGTATCTCTTTATCAACCTTGCCATTCTTCAGATTTGGAAACACTCATGAATTTATACTGGCTTCTAGAAGGGCCTTCACAGGCCTCTGGCCAAAGTAGTTAACACAGACCTTACTTTAAATATTGTGTCAGACCCTTCCTTCACACAGGCTGATAAATAGGCAAAGAAAACCAGAAGGACCTACCTTGAGGTGATGCTGGTATAGCGCTAGCCAGTGCATTTCTCTTTTGGGATCCTGTGGGGATATGGGCCTCCTGCATATGCTGTCACCAGCTGATGTCTAAGAGGTATTGACTAGCACCTGGTGAAAGTTCCTGAGGTTTCCTCCAGGGGTGTATGGAAGATGTGCCTCACACTGAACATCTACTTCCCTAGACTAAACTTTCTGTTTTCATTATATATAAGTCACATTGTACAGAAGACACAAACTCAAGGTTTACTTCTGCAGTTAATAAGAAAAAAAACTGAGCTGTCCTGTTTTATTATTTGCATAAAACTAAAGTTGCTGTCTACAGCCTTTTACTTTCTGTAAACATTAACCATAATGAATATTTTTATCTTTAGTATTTCACTTCAACACGTTCATAGGAGATAGGGAAAAATAATATTCATCTCTGAAGAACAGTAAATAAATTAAAGATATATTTATAGTATCTGTGCACCTAGAAGGGGACAATGGACAGACTATAAAGGTTCTCTGAGTTGTACTGACCTTTACATTCTCACATGGAATTACATCCTGTGTCCTGGCAAAACTTGCTGCGCTGCCTCATCAGCACATCAGAAGCACAAATACCATTTACTATTATCAGCTACGTTCTCTTCCCTGTTTCATGTTTATTTCTTGTATTCAGCTTGGTGAGGCATGGGATTAGCCATATTAGTTAAAAGTCACAAAGAAAGGCACAAGAAGGAAGTAACTATATAAGAACAGATTTACATCAGCCTGGGGTGTGGTCATTATGGAATGAGCTCAAAAGGCCAAGTCCACCACAAATTCTTCATTTAACTGGACAAAGGCAGACTTGCACAGTTTTCAGCTGATGGAACTAGAAGTCAACAATCAATACAAAGAAAGGGAAAGAAGAAGAGAGAGAAATGGAGAAAGTGAAAAGGAAAGGAAGAAAAAAAGGACACATGGAGACAGGGAATCTTTAGAAAATTAGGACTGATTGTTCAGGGATTTAAAAAAAATAAGATTGAAAATACAATAAAAACTGGTCATTTTAATAGTTTAGCAGAAATAGAAGCCAATGAAAACCAAATCAAAGAAATGAAATCTCTAATGAAGAAGTAAAAAGAACAGAAGGATACCCAGCATATACAAATGGGCATAGGGCACTTGACCATGAACTCTTCGAAACTTGAGATAAGGCTGATCTTTACAGTAGAGTATCTACAACAAAGTCCATCCTCATAAGTATTTACTGAATAAATACTCAAACACAAATTTTCAAAACTATAATAAAGTCACTTCTATCCCCTCTGAAAGGAAAAAGTATAAGATCTGGAGCTAAGAATACACATGTAGAGGTAAAAGAAAGTAAGAAAAGACAAATGAAGGGAGAGGAAGGGACAGGCCAGGCCAGCAAAAGGCTAAATAAAGCAAGAATGAGATGCTTCTGCCTTGGAGCTAGAAAAAAGCTCAAGCATAAAGCAATTATCAGTCATAACAGCAAGGACAAACCTAAGAAGAAGTACTATTGACATTACACCCATAACCAAACAACACCAGACCCAAACTAAAACAGGAAAGGGAAAAGCAGGAGTAGTACATAAGCTTCCCTGCTGGCCATCCTCCCAGGAGGGGTTGTCTTCTTGTGGAGCACTTCCTATGACTTGTCTCTTTTGGGTTCTGGCTCTAATACTTCTGCTCTGTGACCTGGGTAAATGACAACTTTTTTTTGAAGGATATCAGCTATTTTAGCCCTGGAAAGGAAATAATAATGCATACTTCTCAGAGCCAAAGTGAAGCTTAGAGAAAATTATGAGTAAGAAATGTTTAGCATAGTGTTGGGCACAGAGGAAAATCTTGCAAATACTAGTGATTCCTTTATTATTGAACACCCCTTCCACACATCCAGACCTGAAGCTTTCCTTAATACTAGAAAGCTATACTAGAATTTAAGTTTCTGCTATTTTTAGTCAGATAGGTTTCACTGTGTTAAAAATGGAATCCTGCCACAGACCAGAAATCAGTACAATAGATAGGCTGGTCTCAATTCCTGTGCAGCTACAACTTTTCTTGATATCTTGTTTCAGCTCCTAAGTGACACATTAATATTCATGTGGACTGCTGAAAAATAGTAGCCAACACCTATTATCTAGAGTGTATTACAGACTGAACACCATCTGTGATTGATATTATTCTCATACTTTACACTATTCTTGGCTCTCAGGTTAAAGTTTTTTTGTCTCTTTCTTTATGGACTTCGTGTCAAATTCATGAAATCATCCATAATCACTCTAAAACAGAATCATTTACATTTCTTAAAAAATAAAAATAAACAGTGGTGAGAACTCTCCCATTCACATCTGATGACACATAGGGTTAAAAACAAAAACAAAAATAGCTCCAATTTACCATTAACTTGTGGGTTAAAAAAAAAAAGAAAGAAAACTAAGATTTAGTAGACTTTAAGAGGGTCTAAGACCCTTTCCTTCACTATGACAATTATTTTGGCCACAATGTTGTATTTTTTTTCCTCCCTGCTGCCTTCTTTTTCTCTCCCTCCCTTCTTGTTCTTTTTAATTCTTATTTTCAGGCATGTCAAAACTGAGACAATAGGAAGACTGTCTTTGTACATTAAACTAAGTTTTTGTTCACTGTAATGGATATTATGGTTGCTTCACCAATACCTCCTCCTTCCCCTCTTAACAAGAATCCTCTTCCAGATGTATGCTCTCAGCTTCCCAACCATCCCACTGGCCCCCCAGCACTTCTAAAGCTAAGACCTTTGGACGAGGACTACAATAATCCCCAACTCGACTCGAGTTAGGAATTCATAGGAAGACAAGTAGCCCCAAACAGGCAAATGTGGCCTAAGAAGAAAAGCTTTATAATCTTTTTTCTTCTGAGCACACTTCTAGAGGCAATTCTTACACTACCCTTAAGGCTTGATAGCTCTGAGTGTTGCTTGACATCATCTTGTGTCCACATGGGGCAACTTTGCCCTAGAATGAAGCTGACCCTAGGGAAGCAGATATGAGAGATGTAATGTCAGGCTTTCATGGCATCTGTAAAGGATGAGTCACCAAATTAAGCCAATCTTGAAACTTCATTTCAAGTCATGAAGTGGGTCAATAACTTCATTTTAATGTTTAAGGGTTTCAGATGGTTTCCTGTTATTTGCATCCAGATATATAAGATCCATTTCATGTTTAAAAGTGAAGAATATCGGCTTTGGCTTTTTAAATTAAATTACATCTCAAAAAGCTATTGGGGGAGGGCTGTAAATAACAATCATTTTTCAATACTTTTTCTATCACATTTAGTAGACAGTACCATAATGACTACCAAAATGACTGGCTTCAGGTTCTTTGTGTAAGGAATGTGGCACTCTATAGAAGTCGATTTATTATTGTAATTATGAAGACAGGCTCCTATGTGTTTTGACTGGTATTGTGTACCAGGTAATTAGTACAAGATTGATACCAGATGAATAATAAAGATAAAAACATTAGGCAAATAAACATATAGTGAAACAACATGCAATAGCACAATGGTTTTATTGACTGCAGAAGAAAAAAATTCTTCCTATCACTTGTAAAAGGTATTTGCTTTATTTAACTCAGTATTTTTTTTCCCATTCTTTATGTGGGTTGAAATTCCCCCTCCCCTAAAACCTGCTTTTCTTTTTTCAAATAATAATATCCACCATGGTTGCATCTTATTCTGAAGGAAAGTAGAAGATCTATCAACAGGCTTTAACAAGGATGTTTCAGTCAACGACTCCTTTCTTCACAAAGAATCTATTTAAAAAAGAAAAAAAGAAAATGAAACTGGGCACTAAGATTAACTTGTCAAAGTTTGTCAAGACACACTTCAGCTGAAAGTTACTTTTAAATGTGAAGTGTTTGTGTAAATAGTAATTGATCCCAAGTAGAATAAACGGCACACTGATGTCTAATTCATAAACTTAATCTCTACAGTACTACATAAAGAATAGACTAAAATTTAATTTTTGTTTCTTTTAGAAATCATTGAAGTATAATCTCTGATACTGGTAGAACCTTATTGTTTCCAGTTTGGGTCCAGGAATGGGGATTAATCCTCCAGTTCCGTTTGCTCAGCTTCCTGCAGGAAGAAATGCTTGGCCAGAGCTATATACAAAACAATGCCTAAGACTTCTGAAGCAGTCTCTGGCTCACAAAGCAAGAGCTTTTGTACTACTATCTGCACAGTCTTGCTGGCATCACAGGGTTCTGAAATAATCTCTAGCGATTATTTCATTGCCCTTGATTTGAAAACTGCTAAGGGATGCTGGAACATGTTGTACAAAAAAAAATTCAACATTTAAAAATATATCTTTTACAACTGGTGTTAAGCATTGTATATTTGCAAATAAACAGTTATAGTACTTATGTAATATCCATATTTAGGTTCTGGTTTAAAGGTTTAGCTAAAATATAAAACTATGAAGAATATTCTTCCATCATAAAATAAATTAGAAAGGAAGATTAAAGTAATTAAAAACTTAATAAACATATGAAACCTTAACCTCCATGCCCTAAGGAAACTTCCTGCTGATCTATCTTACAAATTCTTCTTACACAAGTCTACCATATCTCTTTTCACACCCAATATGAACTCTAACCATTCTCCTTCCCATCTACCTTCCTAGTATTAAAACCTATCTTCAACAAAGAACTGTATTTTATAAGCTTAATTATAATCTGATCTCTCTAATCAGAAGTTCATAATTATACCAAACATATCAAATTCAAACTCTGAATGTGTCAGAAGCTATAGAGTTCTGTCAACACCATATGTATTCTTAACCAACTGTAGGTTTGCGTGGTATATTGTAGCCACTGAGCGCTTCTTGCTGACTCTGTCCCCTTTTCAAATGTTCTCCTGCTTCTATGTCTTCATAGGACTTCACCCTACTAATTAGCATCGAACTCCTATGATTCCAATCATCTCTGAAATGTCTCCAAAAACATAAAGTTTTGATCAATTTTATTAACTTTAAGAACCATATACCATTTCCCTGTCTTATCCATGCTTCTGATCCAAAGTTGTCTCCAACATTAAAAGAGTGTTCAAGAACTAGATGTTTCGATTTGAATCCTATGTCCCTTTGGGTCTAAGATCTGCCTTGGACTACTTCTTCTCAGCCTTGGTCTTGTTCTTCACTGCTGAGAGCTCCTTCTCTTGCCCTGACTCCCACATAGCTCTAGCCCTAGTACCAGCCTCCAGTAGAATTCAGTTCTCTGTCCACATTGGGAAGGGGATAAGGAACAGGGAGATATGGAGGCCTTGAATATTATATACCTAAAATTATATACTATGTATATTATATATATATATATATATACCTGAAATTATATATTATATACCTGAAACTTTTGTCAGAACACTTTAATAAATACTTAATAGCTTCTAGGTGTCATTTTTATTTAGCGAAGTAGCCAAGACATAAAGACTATAAAATTATATTTTTGAAAAGTGATCATAGAAAGTAGTTAAAGTGTTTCTAGTTAACCTAAATAATTTCAGGTAACAAAACCTTAGAAAAAATTCAGCATTCATTAGAATTCATGTTTATTTTGTTGAAAACCAAATGTCTGGTTATCATGTATATTTTTTCTTAGATAGTTAAGTAATGGAAACCAGAAATGAGGAAATGAAAATAACTTTTCTCAAGAAAATATATTAAATGTTTTAAGAGGGGCAAAAAATATATCTTCTTACTGCTAAAGTTTCCATTTAAATGGAGTGTCATAAAGAGTATTTTACTTCACAGCCTTTCATAAGATACTTGTAAATTAAGATAAGAAATTAGTTTTTCTTCAGTCAAGACAACATTCTGTCTGGCTTCATTATTTTTGAGGGTGAATTTTACAGTAAGATATGCACTGCTGAAGTGTTATTTTAGGTCTATATTTACAACTGGTTTTAAACAGCATTCTCTTTTTCAAAAGAAAATTCTATATACAAAATGGATTTTTAAAAAATGAAAGTTTCAGGAAAGATGACAGGACTCAGAATACCTTCTATTTGGCTATACCTTCATTGACTTTTCAACTTTTTCTACTTCTAGCTAGATCCCATCCTTCTTGATTATATCATATATTGCCAGATTTCATCATTATTTTATTTATGATGTTAGACCCTTAAAGATGATCCTCAACTTTTGGCTATTGACTTATTCTTTTATATCCACACTGAGACTTAAAAGATTTAAACAGCAATGTTTAAATTCAAATCCCAAATTTGTCTTAACTGTCTCAGCAGTCTTAGGGGAAAGTGATAAAGTTTTCTTGGACTTACACTTTTCTAGACTTCAGCATACTTTATATGAAGGGGAAATAATGGTTCTTTTTTTAAGAATGCTACAGAGAATACCTAATAGTGAGAATTATGTTCATGAAAAGTATCAAAGGTCATTGTTTAAAAAAATAAGATTTGATCAAAATGCCGTAGCATTGACCCCCTTCTACTAAGTGAAATTACAATAGGTAGACTAGGACTAGAACTTCAATAGGAAGACTAGAACTCAATCTCTAATATTATTTCCTATATTTTTAATGGGAAAGAAACCTTTGGGTAAAAAAGATTCAAAATTAATGTGAGGAGGAGGAAGATAAATTTTCTAAATTATGGAAATCATGGTGCTGGTTTTCCAGAGCTACTACCTGAGGAACAACTCCAGTCCAGCTTTCTTTTTTTCTCCCCCCTGGTTATTTGGAGATAAGAGTCTTGCAGACTCTTCTGCTTGTACTGGATTTTAACCACAATCCTCAGATCTCAGCCTCCTGAGTCACTAAGATGACAGATATAAGCCACCTCTCTTCATGAAACTCTAGCATGAAAGCTCCTGGCTCAACAACATATGGCTCAGAAATTACATTTCAGTAAGTAACTGTGTTGTCTTTAACTCCCGAGAACACATTATGAAGTATTTCCTTTTCCATAAAAAATGGAAGTAACTTAATCTATAAGAAAAAATGAACTCAACTTTCTAGGTTGATTTTCTAGTCCTACATTTTCTTTTTTTTTTTTATTGTGAAAATACCATACAGAGGAGTTACAATTATGTACAATGACCTACATTTTCTTATGTCATTTGTATTTTTGTTTCAGAAGTTTAACAATTTCACATTCTGCCATTCTACACACAAGAAAAGAATAAGTACAGGGGGGAAAAAAAAGAAGACTGGAAATAGCATTTGTAAGAAAAAGTTTGATGGAAAAGGGTATATTATATAACTATTGTATAATCTCAAATGTTATAATCACAGGTTGTTTTATATAGTTTGTTCTATGTATATTATGAAATATCAGAGTGTTAGATTCATATATTCAACATGAAGTACATCTTTCTTTATATGGAAACAACTCTGCAATGTCAACTTTACCTTTTCATATCAGTTCCGAGCCCGGGGAGGTTGGTAAAACTGCTGAGTTGGCCGAGTGGATCTTCTTGGCTGGCCATCACCACCTCTTCGGAACTCAAGAGTTTGGTCATAGGTGCCTTCTTCTTCCTGTTTGCAGAGAGTAATAATTCAATATGTTCAAAACCACTCCAAGTTTCCTATGTGCAGTTTATGGTTCCCATCTTAATATTCCCTTTTAAGGTGCCCAGATATTTGAAAATATCAACTTTTATAATAGAAGACACAAGGGGAAAGATTGAAAAAAAGCAAGGAAAAAAGCAGTGATATTGCTGACAGTCTTTTGATCCATAGTAATAGAAGAGTGTAATTTATGGTGGTTAAGATAAAAAACTATTTCCAAATACTAGCATGATTATCTCATCAAATGACATAATATGTAATGTGGTAAAGACATAGACGATCAAATATTACAATACTAATTTTCTTGAATATTTGGGCTTCTGATATTTTTGTATATTTATTATGGAGAGGAGTCTTATTAAGATATGGCAAAAGAGTTGAAGAGTCAAATAATGTCCACCAACTGTCCTCATCTGATGAAATCTCCAACATCAAGAACCTTACATCTAAACATAGAACAAACAATAAATTGGAATGGAAGAGGGAGGCATATAAATTATATATAAAGAAAGCTACATGCAAGATAGAGCACCACAGTCAAACTTTTTTTCCCCTCAATTTCTTTCTTTCTGAAGGGGTAAATTAACCAGCTCAAGGAATAGCATGGGGAAATTAGGATAAGCAGATTAAAAAGAATATAGAAGAGTACAGTTAATTATAATATTTGAAAAGAACTAAGCAACAAAATGTAGCCAAGACACTGGTTTCTTACTGAATGCAGCCACTCTGTTATTTTGTTTTTAAATTAATTCAGCTATGAATTATATGCCTTACTAGACATGGAAAAATAGCTTTCAATTATCATCTATTATACAGAGTTTAAGTTCCAACTGAATTATCAGAGTATAACAATTTGCATGATTTTGCAAGTTTATTCTTTCTACCTCCTCCTTACTTTATCTTTGAATATTCTTTCCTCAAAGACATAGGAAATAATGTGAGAGACTGAGTTCTATTCTTCAAAATTTTTACAGATATACCTACAGTAATTTTACCTAATGGAAAGGGGAAAATGCTAAGGCAATTTGATCAAATCCTATTTCTTTAGCAATGATATTTGGTATTTTTCATGAACATAATTCTCACTATTAGGCATCCTCATATTCTTTAAAAAGAACCATTATTTCCACTTTATGTAAAGGATACTGAAGTCCAGAAAAGCTTAAGTTGAAGAAAGCTTTATTACTTTGCTCCAATATTTCTAAGACAAATAAATAAAATTTGGGTTTGAATTTAAATACTGCTGCTTAAAAGTCTCAGTGTAGATGTAAAAGAAATAACAGCCAAACATTAAGGATCATCTTCAAATACCATTCATAAGAGAATGGTGAAATCTGACAATGGATAATTCAACAGCTACCTTTTAAAGACAAACTTTAGATGAACTTTCTTTTCAACTATCTCCTTCTCAACAGTCAATCTGAATATAGTTAGGAGTGTCGGATAATAAGTCTATAACTTAGCAAAGCAATTAAAATATAGGAAGAAGCAGGTTGGGTAGTACATGCCTACAATCCCAGCATTTGGGAGACTGAGGCAGGAGGCAGCCTACAGTAAAAAGCTGAATTCTAGGCCAGCCTGGGCTTCATGGCAAGGCCTTGTCTCAAAGATGAAAACAAAAAGAGAAAGAAATTGGAGTGAAAGAAAAAGACAGAGAAGAAAGGAAGAAATACAAGTATTCAGAAAAAGAGTTACTTTTTTGTTATTCTAGTCACTATTCTGAATGATCATTGTAAAGTATTACAGATAATTTTGAAAGGCAGATCTTTCCTTTTATGAATAAAGGTATTTAAAGCTTTACATACTAACTGCAAAGGATGAAAATATATTTGGTACTGCAGAAGAAGTAAGTATCTCAGCAACTGAATGGAATGTTGTTTTCTCTACGTCCAGCGCAAAATGGGCTGAAAAAACATCTGAAATTCTATACTTTACCAGTAAACTATAGCAATAGAAGTAGGACACTATATTTGCTGAGTGACTGCCTAATAAAAATGACATTGCTATTTGAAAACAGTCTCTTCTGTGTTTTAAAAAGTCAGACTGTGCTAGACAAAGCCAATAGATACGACTATAGAGATAACTGACCATGAGATTTCTTTCCTTTAATTTGGTATCTTCATAATCTTTTATAAGTGAACGTTAATAAATAAAGATCCTGACAGTTCAGTTTACAATTGCTGTCAAAGGTACAACATTTACTTTTTAACTGAGAAATTCCTCCTGCAGAAGAGCCCAAGGAAAAGTCTAGTTACAGCTAGTCTGTACCGTCTATAGCTACTATTTTTTTTTAGCATTGTTTCAGTATTCTTTTTATGTTTTATTCTACAGTTCAACTTATCAGGTTCTATTTAACTGACTTTGAATGAAATTCTTCCATGGTTGCTCTTCTAGCCTTTTTCATTTTTTCCCTTTAGGTTTCAATAGTGTTACAGATAAAAAAAAAAACTCAACTCTGCACATTTTTACAGTTCATGCGTACATTTGTAGAGATCTGACATGTTAGCTAGCAAAATTCTAAGGCTATCTAGACATCCCTCTAGGTTTCATGGATCTAACTGTAAACCCACAGAGATGAAGTGGGTTTCCCAAACCACAAATCTTTTTAGAGAAGGAGTCTTGACTAAGGCCATTTTGTTTCTGACTCTCAGGCAGGTTCTTTCTAAGATCTGTGATAACCTATATACAATGAGGATGTCAAGTGTCATCTTCACATGAGTTTTTGAGACTTACGAGCATTTTTTTTGGACTCAAGTTTTTTGCTTACTAGCCATGTTATCAGATAAAAGCTGACATTCAAAATGAGTTCTTTTCATACCAATGTCAGCAAACATACATTGCTCTCTTTTCATAAAATGACAAAAAATACAAAATTTGCCTGTAGTGTCAGGTATAAATGAACTCAGATTTTGGAACAAAACAGAACATAAACCAATAAGAAAATGAGGCAAATATCCTCATTGATAAGAACATTTGATAGACATAACTATACTTTTCCTGCATAAAGTCTGTACCTTTTCATTAGTGTACACTGTATCTGAGGAGCACAGACCAAAAATGTATTCCCAACTTATAAATAAGGTGTGTTACAAAAGTTCCTTGTAAATGAGTCACTTGGAATGTGGAACATATTGCAGTGAAGCTATGAAGCATTTACATAATAGGTTCTCTGTTCCACAAATATTAAGGAGGAGTGCAGCTAACCATACAAACAAAATATTCTAAGGAACAGGCTGAGCAATGCTTCTCAACTGAGAACTATTTGTCACGCAGGGGACATTAGGCAGTGCCTAGAGGGAGCTGCTACAGCATCTAATAGATGGACAACAAGGGTGAGGCTAAACATGCTGTAACTCACAGGACTGCTCATAACAAAGATTTGCTCAGTTTTAAAGCCAGCACTGCTAAGAGTCATACTCACCAGGCCAAGAAAATAAAACATCCTATTCTTCCAGACCATCACTACATAGTTTCCTTGTTTTGGAATTAAAAAAAAACAATATATATATATATATATATATATTTTGCCAGTTAAAGGGCCTGAACTCAGGGCCTGGCTGCTGTCCACAAGCATTTTAGCTCAAGACTAGCACTTTACCATTTGAGCCACAGCACTATGTCCAGTTTTCTGATGGTTAACTTGAGATGAGTGGCCGACTCTTCTGCTCAGGCTGGCTTTGATATGTGATCCTCAAATCTCAGCCTCCTGGGTTGTAAGATTGCAGGCTTGAGCCACCCTGCACTTGACCCTTCTCTCTTTCTTAATGATCACCGTCAACGCTTTCAACGTTCTCAGTCATCTCTCCCAATCCACTCCATCCCCTCACTTTTCTTAATTCTGTAGTATACACATGGAATTTTTTATGCTTCATTCTCCTCTGTTCTTCTCGTCATTGTTTTACTCCCCCTTCCCTTGATTGTACTTCACTCTTTTCAAGTATCTATTTGGTGTCTATCTTATGGGATTTTGCTTTTCTAAGGAATACACTGCTTGTGTTCTCTCCTGAATCTATTTTATGCTAGTTAATACGTCTGTATACATTTATGTTACCCAGCACTTTACTTACGTTGTTTATAAACTAATTCTACCCTCCACATGTGAGGGAAATATGCAACCCTTGTCTCTCTGAGTCTGAGTTATTTTACTTAAATTTTTCCAGGCCCTTCAATTTCTTTGCAAATGTCGCAATATCATTCTAATGGATCATAAAAATCCACTGTGTATCTATCTACATTTTTTCGATCCATTTATCCATTGAGAGGCATTTGGGCTGATTCCATACCTTTGCTATGGTGAATAGTGATGCCATTTAGCATGGCTGTGCTGGGATCTTTACTGTTATCCTAGTTTGTAATCTTTTGGATAAATACCCAAGTGTGGGATTGCCAGATCATAGGGTAGCTGTTTACTTTTTTGAGGAACCTCTATATTGCTTCTCAGAGTGGTTAAACAAGTTTGTATTTTCACCAGCAGTGTATTAGAGTTCCCTTTTGGCCACATCCTCAGCAGCATCTGTTACTATTTTCTTGATAATGGCCCTTCTAACTGGGGTGAGGTGGAATCTCAGTGTTGTTCTGGTTTTCTGTATGACCAAAGAGGTAAGCATTTCTTTATGTGTCTATTGCCCACTTTTACTTTTTCTGAGATGACTTTATTTAGCTCATTAGCCCATCTAATAATTGGGTTGTTGGTTCACATTACTGCTTCCATATAGTGAGGGAAAGAAACAAGCAAAATTTTAGAACTAGAAGGAGGTTTGTAGATTATCTAATGAAGTAGATTTATGTTTTTTTTTTTTTTTTGGCAGTAAATGCAGCACTGTGTAATTTTATGTAAAACATCAGTATAAGATAGCTAAATTCAGGTTAAAATGGATGTTTTTGCATAAAGTGGATGTTTTTGTTATAAGTAGCACTCTTTACTTTCTCTTCAGTGGCACCAAGCCTTATAATCCTTAAGGTACAAA